ATCTGAAGGCAAGTGATTTTATTTTGAATTATGCATATCTGAAAATTTCTTGGTTTTCTGATTTATAGCTCTTTTATTGATTCTCGGAGCGCAAATTCTCTCCACTGGATAACTTTGTCATCCGAATCGTCACTCGAGTCGCTTAACAAACGTTCCACGACAATACCAACTGCTGCGTACATTGCCATAATGATTTTAAATGGTACGGTATCCAAATTAACAAGTATCCATTTACGATAAAACAAAGGTTAGGTTTTCTCATATGATAGCAACCTGAAGCCTACATAAAAATGCGTCTTTTTATTAACCACCATTCAACGGAACCGGTTGCTGTCGTCATCACGTCAGCTGTCAACCATAAGTTCACCGGATCCATCAGTGATGGAATCAACCGGTGAATTTAAGAATATACCTATAAACCCAATTAATAAAACGTATTTTCCTATACATATACATGGTGATATTTTTTGTCATTTAATTCTTTTTTAATTTTGTATTCCATTTTAAAATGTATGTTTGTCTTGTCACGTGGTTACCCTATAGAGAGAGCAGCATATTTTCCAAGTGAGCAGCCTATAGTTTCCTACGATTTTTGTAAATAACTTTAAGTATAGCTTTTAAAATAACAGAGCTATCGACTGATAATACTCTAAAGATTTACTCTGAATGTACGAGCCCCTTCCCACTTCAGTTGGCCCACTTCAAGATTTGTACCAAAATATGCCTTTATAAACCAAACATGACGAAACTATTTACTTCTAAAACAATTTAGTTTCTCAAAAACATTTTAGATACACTCTAGTCGTAAAAAATGCATATTTGAAATCACTTAGACCTATAACTAATAGAACATCTGAACAAATCAACAATGTGCGAATAAATGCGCGAAGTTAACAAAGCAACAATTGAAAGATTACCATTGGGTAACATCACCTTTATTTTTTATTACGGCTGAAATTCTTAACCAAGTTTTGGCAAAAATTTGGTGTAAAACAATCCCATATTTCTTGAAGGTTTTGTCTCAGTTCGGTGATTGTACGAGCAGGATGTTGTCGTAGAACCTTTTTCATCTCGTGCCACAAAGTTTCAATAGGTGACAGATCTGGACTGCTAGAAACCCATTTCAAAAGTGGTACAATATTTTCTTCCATCCATTTTATAGCCTTTTTGAGGTATGGCACGCTGCACCATCTTGCTGAAACACAAAATCTTGGCCGGATGTCAAACATTCTTCCATCACTGGTAAAAGCGATTCTTCAAAAATTGCCAAATATTTGTTTGCATCCACATTTCCATCAATAAAATGAAGTTTTCCTACTCCTTTTGATGACATACTGCCCTAGACCATAATGGATGCTGTAAATTTAATTTTTCTTTTCAGACAGTCAACATGGAATGCTTCTTTTTTTTGCGAATAACTCTACTGCGACTGTCACCAACACAAACTTCGAATCGGGCCTCATCACTCCATTGTCTATGTTCTTTAGCCCATCTAAGCCGATTTTTCTTTTACAGTGGAGTTAATAGTGGCTTTTCTTTGGCCTATAAACAAGTTGTGCAACTTTAGGGTTTTTAATTCGCTTTTTTTATAAGAAAACTTACCTTGCAAGTGCTAAATCCCAGTTTGTGGGTCTCTCTATGAGTTGTGGACCTCGAAATTCTCCTTCCAACAGCGTCACTCCACATAGCACTTAATTGTAAATAATTGGCACGCCTGTTTTTCACGATTATTCTTCTTAATGCTCTTCGGTCGGCATTTGTGATATTACTTTTTTTCACATATCGTGGCTTAATATTAACTGAAATTTGATTAGGGAGTGATAAAGTTGGTGTTTACTACTATATATTATCAAAATATTCATTGTTGATATTTTAAACCTATAACACCCTGCTACATTTTTATTATTTGTGTTTGATAAGAAAAAAACTAAGATTTCAATAGTTGGGCCAACTGAAGTGGAAAGGGGCTCGTATATCTATATAAATAATAATTTGTGTAAGTGCATAAATAATCTCCCCAAATTATTAGATTCTAAATATCAATTCTCAGTATAAGAACAACTTTGTTCACACCTGTGTTGAATGATTTCTTATATTGAAGTTAATGGCTATATTCACTTTTCTTAAAAAAAAAACATTTCACACAGTTCACCTCCGTATTACGAAGCCTTGCCTTGTTAATCCGAAACCTCAGTAAGTTCATGTTCATTTTCTGTTCTTTTATTAAGTACGATAGCATGGAGATTGAACAGTGAGACAAGTACAACATACATTACAGATATATTACATAATTCAAGTACATACTACGAGTACATTTCTGTTAAATTGAAACTCTTATGTGATATGCATTTAATTAAATTATTACATACAATAAGCTAAAATTACTGTCACAGAGAGTTATCAAATTTCTCCCACCCATTCTTGTGTTCCTGAAAAAAATATATGTAATATGTGCAAGTATAAAGCCAATATTTCATTTTAGGGATTCTGAACGGCTAAGGGCTGGGTGATAACATAATTATTTTGGCTCTTCCAGTAACGATATGTGTATCACACTGTCGATCAAGACTTACTTTTGCATTCTATAACCAGTCTTTGTTAATTTTTAAACCTGTCTGTTGAAATACAATCTTGTGGTAGATTTTTCCTAGAACTTTTGGTCTTTGTGCTGCCTTTTTGTGATTTCATGTTTTAAAATAAAGAATGAAGTTTGATATCTCACAGTTTTTCCCGGAAACATCTGTGTAGTGGCCAAAAAGAATTCAAAATGGAATTTACAACCAGTGTGATGGAGTTGCCAACAATTTCAACGGTAGCCGAGTATGACGTCAGCATAAGCTAATTCCAATTGGTCTGATAGATAGACTTTGCCTCGGTTTCGAATTCGCCATCATAATTTCAACCACGTTTCAACAGTAGCCACAATTATTTCTCAGTAGTCACCAGGCTATGACGTCATTGTAAGATGAGTGTTGACAGACTTGCGAGTTTATCAGCTGAACTACGGATTTTAGGATTTATAAGCAAAACGGAAAACTAAATTGTAAAATGTTTCTAGATTACTTGGCATTGGCATAACGTTGTTTTTTGATTTTTGACAGAAATTCTTAAGTATATACATATCCATGTTATTTTGGAATTTTTCGTCCCCCACACTGGTAAGTCCATATCGTAACCAGAAACAGGGAGAAACCAGCCTTCGTATCGGCTGTCGATTGAAGAACGGGTGGTGGGAGAGCTGCATCGTCTGCTGCATCAGTGCTTCTGAGATCAAATATCCTTATGATATTTGAAGATCGGGGATGGTATCAATATTTAAAAATTGTAGAGCGGCGGGGCTGTCAGCATCATTATTTCTAGGAGTGAATGGCCTTGTTATAAATGAACAGCGGAGTGGGGGGTGTCTGCTGCACCAGTGCTTCTAAGAGTGAATGCGCTTGTGGCAACCAAAGAGTGGGAGTGGCTTTCATTTCACAAAAGGTATATTATATAAGGAAAATCGTTATAGGCCAAAGGGTTTTGGGGGAGAACTCATGCCCCAAGACGCCCACCCCCCGAATACGTCAGTAAGTCCATAAATACATACATAATAAACTACATTAACAAAGTAACAGACCTGCCTTTGTATACGGGAGGCCAATTATTTAAAAGTTTTGTGTCGAAAGGTTCCTGAGCTATGTCCTTTGCGAATCTTTATCCGCAAATCTTATTATCGTACTTGATACACAATTGATTTATGAATACCGATATCGCAATGTGGTTGCACGGAATGGAATTTTTCTATATAAAAGCATTTTTTATTTAACTTGAACCAAGCAAATTTAAATTTCGCACCACCTCAGTCGATACATCAGCTTTAAATATTTACAGACCTTTATCCACTCGATGAACTATAATAGAATACATTATAATAACAGACTAAATCCGCAACACTTCAAATGGACGCAATTGTCTACAATGTCTATGTTTACGGTTGAAATCGTTACATGCAATTTCTATAATAATTCTAAAATAGTTTAACAGTGCATGTCCTAGTAAAAATACTTTGTGAAATGACTATGAATGGTGCGCAGCTCCACATAAAAATTCGTCCAAGATATTAGTACAGAAAATGCCATCAAACTACTCAGGATTGCTCATTCCAATTATTCATCTTACCTTAAAGTCACTGCATATTTGTCTTCTTCTCAACTAAATTATGTTTTCTGTAAACCATCGACATTCATTCAGTTGGTCTGCCATAGGACAGCATGACACTGATAACTCGTTCACAATGGCCGCTATCGTGAATACCAACATCAAAATCAACAAAATTTATTAGCTACTAACAGTGACTAACAAATACCCCAGTAAAAGACAACATTGAAAAATTTGTTCTGGCGACTCTCAGTCGTCGCCGCCAAGTGGAATCAGGTCCCTCTAATATATCAAATTACGTTGTTGTGGTTACTATGCACTTTAATTCAGGTTAGGCAGGCGTTAACCTGTAAAGGCGGAAACACATTATTGTTTCGTCACGATGTCACTTTCTGGTGGCTTACCTTCACGTGACTTTACGCTATGAGGTACTTTCATATACTCACGAGGAATTTTCCAATTTCCATTTTACTGCAGAAAACATCATACCGTAGTAGACATGATTGGTTGCACATACAATCTCAAAATAGTAAATTGACGGGATGTCAGAGGCGTTCTGATATATACTGGTACATGAGTACGTCATGAGCGCTTGACGTGACAACAGTGTGTTTGTGTATATAGGGTTCCACATACTTCTCACGTTACGTGAGATTGTCAGTATTGTGACTCCAATATAAGAATGCATGGGAAATGTTGCAAATTGACTGACAGTAGTTGCAGTTTTGTGTACAATGCTCTTGTTTCCAGGCAAGTGAGCTTGAGGTGGAAGAGGTTACAGACTTCAATCCACATTTAAACAGGAAGAATGAAATCAATGTGGGAAATTCTAGACAGGAAGCTGAATTTCTTAAGGAACAGCAGTTGACCTTACTACAATTACAACAAAAGGCTGAGAACAAACTTAGAGATGCCAGGAAGATTAGTGGAAATTTGTTAGCTTTTCCAGGTGACTATATTATAAAAAATATTTTCATTATGGACAAACTTTGATATAGGGTGCCAATGAGGATTTTCCGGGCAGATATCGAATCTAGGTCTAATATATATATATATATATATATATATATATATATATATATATATATATAGTGAAATTGGCAAACTTTTAGGCTTTAGTTAACTCTTTTGGCGATAATATCAAGCTTTTGGCGATTCTCTATGGAGCCTTCATCAGGATCTAAAAACACAATTGTGATGCTAGCAACCAATACAGGAACGACTTAAAATGTCGAACAACTTACTCGTCGTTGAGGCTGCAGCCAAATGGTGTTTCAAAACGAACGTGGAGATGAGAGCACTTGTTACAGTTATAAAACCAATCTGACGGAAACATTGGGTTTATTGATAACGACAGATACCATCGTTATGTGTTAAAACTATCAATATACCCGAATATATTAAAAATGAATTAACGAGAAGAAATTTTGGGGACAATTACAATCGGAATGCAGTTTCTAACCTACTTCCGCTACACGTGGAGAAGGTGGACGGAACGGAAAGGTAATGCGTCGACAGATGACATGTGATGACGCGATGGAATGTGGAACTGTAAACATCATTGTCAAATTTGGGCATGAAGTATACGAGGGACGCTCGATAAAACCTGATCCTAAATCACCAAAATGCTGAATTAAATTTGTTCTGTGCAGTTCATATGAGTGTACGAATGTAAAATAGTGATACACACTTGAAAAGATGGGTTGTGTGAATTTATATTAAAGATTGTGAGAGAAAAGTTTCAATTAACAGGATAAACAATTGGGAATGTATTTTAATTTTGGGAAGACGTTAGATCGATTTGGATATGTAGCCGTTGAAACTTTTCGCAATTCAACAGGTAGGAATAAATGACATTAAGCTGCCTTTTTATTCATGCAATGATTTGTCATGAAAATATGGGACATTTGAAAAATTTGATTTTGAGAGTATTTTTTCTTTGTCAAGAACCTCAATACTGCCATAATTCATAGAGTGACCTGTGGTGTTAATATGTGATGCCAAAGCACATCTCTCTGGATGCAATCTGGGGTCACTTTTGTGTGAAGTTATCCTGCCTTTCAGTGATTCGATGTTTGGCCTATATAAACTAGAGTTGTTGCGATTAATGCGATAGACAGTGTTGGTTGAATCAAGCAACTGAACCTTATCCTTCATTTTTTACATGACTGTGAGCACCGATTTACAAGCAAAACGACAATTAAAGGAATTATACAGCCTAATTGTCGTTTTGCTGTTGCTGTTGTCCAATTTCCCAATTAACAATGAATTGTATTTTTTGCCCAACTGCTCGTTGGCAATGGCAATGACTACTGCTCACTTATATATATATATATATATATATATATATATATACAGGGTGTCCGCAAAGTTGGGTTTTCCTTTTCAGAAACAACTACCCTTGAAATAACAAAGGTAATGTGTAGTGAAACGAGGGCGACCAAGTAAAAAAAAATAAAGAAAAAAGTACTCACTTTCCAGTTGACGAGAAGGGCTAAGTAAGTCTGCCCGAAATCATACCGCTCCAACAGAAAATGAAATCAGCTGATGCGCTACCGAGCAGACGCACCATGTCAGCCCAAACATTCACCGAAAATGTTTGTTGAAAATGTGCCCGACGGACAGAGTGCGGATTTTCTACTGACCAAACATGAGTGTTGCGAAAGTTATTGACCCCATTACGCGTGAATGTAGATTCGTCTGTCACCAATATGCACTTCAAAAAGTCCGGATTATTGTCATTTTGATGCAACAACCACTCACAAAACCGCACTCTTGCTGGAAAATCGTCAGGTTGAAGGGCTTGTACACGTTGGACGTGAAACGGATACAGCCCCGCTTCACGCAGCGTTTGCCACACTTTAGTTTCACTTCTCTAGCCACGTCTCTAGTGCTTGTTGAGGGATTCTCGTCTACGCGATTACCTCTGCAGGCGTGACCGTAACCGTCGGTTGAAGGTTGCATACTGACCTGACACACTGACCCCGACCCAGTTCTGTCGTTGAGCCAGTGACATTGTACCACTCCGTGATGCCGCGGCTACAGGACGGTATTCAGATATTTTTGATGTTGCAGAGCCCTTTATCTCGGTTCCCTTAAGACATTGGTGTATATGGTGGAAAACCCCAACTTTGCGGACACCCTGTATAGGTGAAAAATTAAAGCTTCCGCCTTTTGTTGGGTACTTCGGCAAAATTTAAGCAAGGAGGACTCTTTATACTTTTTTTAAATTTGCTTAAATTTTGTGGAAGTACCCAACAAAAGGCGGAAGCTTTAATTTTTTCACCTAACTGGTCTAGACGACAATTACCACGTCTCAAGTTATATATATATATATATATATATATATATATATATATATATAGTTGGGTACAAAACACAATTACTTGTTAATTGGGAAATTGGCAAAACTTTTAGGCTTAAGTTGACTCTTTTGACGATAAAATCAAGCTTTCGGCATTCTCTATGAAGCCATCATCAGGATTCTGAAAACACAATTGTGATGCTAGCAAAGAAAACAGAACAGATTTAAAATGTCAGACAACTTACTCGTCGGTGAGGTTGCAGCCACAAGGTGTTTCAGAAAGAACGTAGAGAAGATCGAACTTGTGATCAGTATAAAAACAAAAGGACGGGGACATTGGGCTTGTTGAAAAACGACAGATACCTTCGTTAAAAGTTAAGAAAAAATAAAAATTATATCAATACACCCGAACAAGTTAAAAATATTACACGTGGGGAGACATTTTGTTGAAACAATCGGAATGCAGTCCCTAACCTTCTACAACCGCTACACGTGGAGAGGGGGAAAGGCACGGAAAGGTAAAGCGTTGACAGATGACAAGTGATTGACGCGACGGAGCGTGGAAATGTACACCTCCCTGTCCAACTTTGGGTATGAAGTATACGAGGGACGCTCGGTAAATCTCCACCCAAAATTACTAAAATGCTGAAATAACTTGTTTTGGAAAAAAGTGTGTGGTTCATATGAGTGCAAGAATGTGTGATATTGATACAACCTTGAAAAGATGGGTTATGTGAGTTTATATTAAAAATGTGAGCGAGAAAAAATGTATTCTAATTTTTGTGAAGATGTTGGATCAAGTTGGACATGTAGCCGTTCTAGCTTTTCGCAATTCAACAGGTAGGAATAAATGACACTGAGCTGCTTAACATCAGCCTTTTTATTCATGCAATGATCTGTCATGAAAATGTGGGGCATTTCTAAAAATAAACGTTTTGAGAGTCTTTTTTCTTTATCAAGAACCTCAATACTGCCATAATTCATAGAGTGACCTGTGTTGTTAATATGCGACGCCAAAGTACATCTTTCTGGATGTAATCTGGCATCACTTTTGTGTGACGTTATCCTGCCTTTCAGCGACCTAGAAGTTTGGCCTATATAAATTAAATTGCAGTTGTTGCAATTAATACGATAGACAGTATTGGTTGAATCAAGCAACTGAACCTTATCTTTCATTTTGGACAACAAACTGTTGACTGTGAGAACTGATTTACAAGCAAAACGACAATTAAAGGAATTATACAGCCTGATAAATGTTGGTGTTTGATGTATGGCAAAACAACATAATTAACTCTGGAAATAGGAGCAACCACTGTAGTGCTGTTGTTCTCATTTGTTGAAGAATTAATGGGTATCTGGTTGGATTGACCCGTGTTGTCATTTTCACTATTGTTATTAGTGATTGGCAAAATATTCGGAGGAGAGCTGAACAAGATTCTGTTAACCAAATACTTAGGATAGCCATTGTTGATAAATAAGACTGAAAGCTTCCTTAAATTGGAAAGATGGAAAGTACTGTCAGAGATTTTTATAACCCTGTTCTTCATTTGTTTCACCAGGTTTATTTTTATTTTAAGTTCATGGTAAGACCTGAAGTTCAGGAACCTTCCGGAAGAAATTGGTTTCCTGTACCAGTCTACCAGTAATATATTGTCATTGGTACGAATCAATCTTGAATCCAGAAAGGGAACAGATTGATTGTCATCTTCTTTTTCGATGGTGAACTGGATGTAGGGATCATAACTGTTAAAAACCTCAACAATATCATCCACCCTATCATAAGGAAGACAAACGATTGTATCGTCCACATACTTTTTAATGAAAATTAGATTGTATGGCAATACTTGAATAACAACATCAAGCAGGTCATCCATTACATATTCTGCCAAAATTGGAGATAAAACAGAGCCCATGGGGCAGCCATGTGTTTGTGAAAACACTTTGTTATTAAAGGTAAAATAATTGGTCTGGAAAAGGTACTCTACGATATTGATGAAAGAATCCAGAGTTAGGTTGCTGTGTTGGCAAATTAGATCCCAATGTTTGTTGATGAATCTGATGCAAGCTTCTAAATACACATTGCTGAACAGTGAAACTACATCTAAACTCGCAATAACATGATCAGGGGGTATTTGAAATCTATTAAATTGTTGACAAACATCAAACGAGTCTTTTATAAAGTACTCTCCTTTGATGTGAGCTGACTTTAGAGTATCTGCAATTAATGAAGATAAAGCTAGTGTGGCTGATTCAACATTAATTATGTTGTCTTGCCATAAATCAAAGAATTAACACCAAGATTGATCAGGCTGTATAATTCCTCTAATTGTCGGTTTGCTTGCAAATCAGTGCTTACAGTCAACAGTTTGTTTTCCAAAATGAAGGATAGGGTTTAGTTACTTGATTCAACCAACACTGTCTATCGCATTAATTGTAATTTAGTTTATATAGGCCAAACATCGAGATCACTGAACGGCAGGATAACCTCACACAAAAGTGACGCCAGATTACATCCAGAGAGATGTGCTTTGGCATCACATATTAACACCACATGTCATTCTATGAATTATGGCAGTATTGAGGTTCTGGACAAGGAAAAAAAAACTCTCAAAACGTCTATTTTTAGAAATGTCCCAGATTTTCATGCCAGATCATTGCATGAATATAAAGGCTGAGCTTAAGCAGCTTAGTGTCATTTGTTCCTACTTATTGAATTGCGAAAACTTAGAACGTCTGCATATCCCAGTCGATCTAACGTCCTCCCAAAATTAAACACTATTCCAATTGTTTTTCCTGTTAATTGAAACACTTCCCTCACGTAAATAATAAAAAAATTTTAATATTATTTCACATAATTTCAAATTTAATATAATTTAATTTAATATATTTCACACAACCCATCTTTTCAAGCGTCTTACACTCGTACACTCATATGAACACACACTTTTTCCAGAACAAATTAATTCAGAAATTTGGTAATTAGGATGAGGTTTTACCGAGCGTCCCTCGTACACCTGAAATTTGGCAATGATGTTTACAGTTCTACATTCTTTCGCGACAATGACCAGTCATCTGTCGACGCATCATTCTTCCGGTCCGCTGATCTTCTCCACGTGAAGCAAATGTAGGAGGTTAGAAGGGACGTTCCGGTTTTTGTCCCCAAAATTCCTTTTCGTTAATTTTCAATGTGTTCGGGTGTATTGATATACAGGGTGTAAACGTTATGATAGTCATTATTTAAATGAGTGATAGAAGGGGTTAAAAGAAGCAAAAAGTTTCCTATAACATGCGGGTCAAAACGGCATTTTTTTAGAGAAAAGCGACTTTAAAGTAAAATAAAATCTGACAACGCCGCAATGCCAGGCGTAAATTGCGACGGAACGCAGTGTAAATAAAGATTGAGTTTGTTATTTTTGGCTCTTGGATATTATTTCATTATTTGATAATGTACTCGTAAAATGCAAACAATGAAAAAAACGGACTTACCACTAACTGTCTCAGCGCTTCACCTGGTGTGTGAAAGTTTATTAAACGTATTAAAAAAAAAACACTTATAAATAGGGAACACAATTTTGATACATACATTGTTTTTCTTTTTAAAACCCACACTGCACTTTTTTTGTATGTTCAAAATGTCGTCCTCCACTTTCCACACAAGCTTCCTTACGATGAACCCAGTTTCTTCTTACTCTAGGTCCTCGAAGTGGTCCATTTATTATTTCAGCCGCATTAAAATTTTTTTCGCGAACTTGTGCTTCAGTTGTTATTGAAGCAGCCCCATAAGCCATCCCTTTAAGTTCTCCCCAATACCAGAGGTCAGGAGATCTTGCTGGCCATTTTCGGGGATCAGGAGCATTTCGACCGATCCAGCAATTTGGATAATGTTCATTCAAATACTGAAAGACGTCTCTAAAAATGTGTGGTGGTGCCCCGTCATGAAGAAACCACAAATTCTGTCTCCGTTGTAATGGCATGTTGTCTAAGGTCTGTTTCAAAAGTTCTGGTAGGTTATTGGCTAGAAAGCTGAGGTATCCTTCTCCTGACAACTTTGGGGGTAACTCGAAAGGGCCAATTACCTGATCGTCAAGAATACCCGCCCAAATATTTAATTTAAAACGTTGTTGGAAAATGACCTTCACGAATGGTATGAGGATTTTCTTGGGCCCACGTATGAGTATTATGGACATTTAATATCCCGTCTCGTGTAAAATTACATATTCGTCCTCCGCTAGAGTATTTTTGAAAAAATCCTGATTTCCAATGTTCTTGTGCAAAAACCACTGACAGAATGCTAGTCCGTGAGGATAGTCTTCCGGTAACAAGGCCTGCACTCGTTGTACATGGTAGGAATAAAGCAAATTTTCCCGTAGGATTCTATGGACTATGGTATGCGATAGTCCTACGTGGCGGCCTAATTCCCGAGTGCTGATAACTGCATTGATTTCCACGATATTTGAAATTTGTTCCTCCTGCTCTACAGTAACCTATCTCTCACGAGTGCGAATATTAGTGGGCTGAACACTTCCTATATCTCGAAGTCTTTGGTACACTTGCACAAATGTCCTGTCTGGGTGTACCCGTTGGCGAAATCTGTCGCGATAAATTTGAGCTGCAAGATTTGAATTCTGACGAGTTTCACCGTAAACTAACATCATGTCGGCGAACTCTTGATTCGAGAACATTGTAAAAATAAACACGACGACGTACGCCAACAAAAACAAAACAACATACTAACCACTGTTACCGTTTGCGATCGATTGCCGGTTCGATAAGAGTGATCAAAAACCGACGGCGCTGTTGTCATGTGTGTTTTAAATATTTAATTTAATGAAACTTACTTACTGACTACAAATTTTGGCTTAACATAGAAGAACTTAATGCCATTTATTTGTTAATTACCCAATTTAAAAACGTTTTAGATTAGATTATAAAAATAGTAAGATTGTGGTGATTGTGGTCGATATAAACCACTTAAAGTTGTAAACTATAAAGCCATTTAGACAAAAATCTATTGACTTTTGGACCATGGGTCATATGAACTTTTTGACTTGTTTTGACCCCCCTATTCCCCATTTCAATAATGACTACCATAACGTTTACACCCTGTATAGTGTTAACACCTAACGATGGTTTCCGTCTTTATCAATAAGCCCAATGTGTCCGTCCGGTTGGTTTTATATTTGTAACAAGTGCTCTCATCCCCGCGTTCGTTTTGAAACACCATTTGGCTGCAATCTCAACGACAAGTAAGTTGTTTTACAATTTAAATCTTTCCTGTATTGGTTGCTAGCATGCTAATTGTGTTTTCAGCTCCTGAAGAAGGCTCCATAGATAATTGCCGAAAGCTTGAGATTACCGTTAAAAGAGTTTATTAAAGCCTAAAAAAGTTTGCCAATTCCCCAACGAATAATTAATTGTATTTTTTGCCCAACTGGTCCTTGACAATGGCAAGGACTACTGCTATATATATATATATTTAATAGGAAATCAAACGAATTGTGTTTCAAACACAATGACCAGCAATGGTTATGATGATTTTGACGTGGCTATAAGAGAACTGGAAGAGAAAACGAAAACTTTAGGTCCCACTGCATCGGCTAACAAAAAGATGCAAGAAAACATCCTAGCTAGAGTGGAAAGCCTCCATAATCAAATTGTCAGCATGCATGATGCGAACGAAGAACGGGAAAAATTGATTGAGGTATGTTGGTGCGTATGTCGCACATAACTCGCTTAATTAGCTGTTCAATTAATACTCTAGCATTTTTACTAAACGTACAATAAGCCAACTATGTGACGCTAAATGATAATACATATATTAGAAATTTATATTGTCAGCGGGTGGGTTTCAGCGCCATCTAACTCCGCTTTACCAATTCATATACCTCGGAGCGAGCAGCATCAAGACAGCGTTGCAGTTTACAATTCCTATGCCGTTTAAGTTGTATTCGCTGGGAGCGAAATGTATCGTGGGGGAAACTAAATCAATCGCCGCGCACGCGGTGGACAAAAAGGGAGACATCGTCGGTCCGATAGTGGAATATAGGCGTGGCTTATGCAGGGTGTTCCATACTTAAATTGACATAGTGAAATGTTAGGTAGTATGGACCGAGAACTTTTCATATCTGAAATGCATTACATATTGCAGATATACATATATATGCATGCCAATTGATTCGATTCTGTTGAAATTTTGTGCGGTAACAAAATCGGTATTAGAGTAACGTGAAGCTATACGGACGGTTAAAAAGTTAGGTTCAGGCTCGATTTTTAACTTGGTTTTTATCAGAATCAGTATCTTTTAATTGAAGTGTTTGACTATGTACAAAAAATAGATTTTCTGCTCAATTTTGTTTTTTAGTAAACAAATTTTATTTTTTTTGTTTTTAATTGTTTTAAGTAGGCTTTGCAAATAAATGCTTGACTTACCTGTCAGCGAGTATTGTTATCATTATGTATTATTAATATTGTTTTATTATCATCAAACATGCCAGGTGGTTCGACATGCTGACGTGCAACATTTTGTGCTAGAAAAATTACTACAGAACTGTATCTTGATAAATTTTCCGAAAGAAGGCAACCAAGTAAGTCCATTTTCTTAGAGTCTGCTCGAAATTTAAATGAATATGGATGATTCAGAAAGCCTGTTACGTCTCAAAAAAAAGAAGCTTTAGAGGAAACTCTAGTATTTTACAAGCAGTTGTTGAGAGTTTTGAGATATCAACTAGGCAAATTGAGAAAAATGTGAGAGCAAAATCCACAGCGCAATTGATTTTGCGGAAAAAAAGAGATCACCTATATAAATTTAGGATTTGCCTAGGGACTTAGACCAGGAGATAGCTAACGGCGCCAGCATTTTTGTGAGTGGTACACGCGAACGTGTGTGTATCAATTCTTAAATAATATGGTCCGACCAGAGTATAGTCACTAATAATGTTATATTTAAACGCCGCAACACTTATTACTGGGATTAAGAAAATCTGCGGACCAAAAAAGTATCCAGAGATCAAGAACAAGATGTGTTCCTTCACATAACCCTAGACAAGTTCGAGAGTATCTTTCTCAGCGATTTCCCGGAAGGTGAAGTGTCCTGGCCAGCGCGTTCCTAAGATTTAAGTCCTCTGGACTTTTTTGTTTGGGGTTTTATTAAAAAGATTATCAGCATACTTGTGAAACGGAGCAACAGTGCATTTAGTATGATTACACCAGAAATGTTACGTGATATTTTGGATTCTATTGTTAGATCATTTTATGTTTATAAAATAATGGAAACCTATTTGAATACCGATTATGAATAAAATAAAAATGACGTTGAATATGGTTTCGTTATTTTGAATATCACTAGATTAAGCATCATTTTGTAAAATTATATCAAGATGCATCTATCAGTAATCACATAATCTTACATCAAGCATTGGTTTGCAAAGCCTACCTAAATAAAAAACCAAATTTTTGATGCCGGGTGTAAAAAGTGCCAATGAAAAAGATCCATATTTTTTATATCCTTTGAAATAGAGTCAGAAAAAATAAAAACGATTTGGACATATTTTGGTTTTACATTTTACAACCAATACATAAAAAAATCGTTTCTTACACTGCACCAGCAATAGAGTCTGGGATATTTTAACTTTTATAGTAAAAATAAGTCTTTTCTTGCGTTTTTTTAAACACACCTTGTATATTTTAAAGTGGTATTCAGTTCTACATTGTCTGGCTTGAAAAATGATTGCCAGATCGTTTCTTTTGGAAAAAATTGATTTGCGTATTTGATGTAAAGTACTATAAAAAGCTTGAATCCGTTCTTCTTTGAAATTACCGTAGTGTTAACGGAATTTGACATTGACGATTATGTAACATATATTAGGGAAGTAACACCACAACGTTATTTAAAGAATATCCGTGCCTTATCACCGATCAGTGCCGACAGTGGTGTAGAAATTTACACACCCTGTAGTTCGCTAAGGGGATATTTTTTGATGTGCTGTCTGGGTCAGAAGTATTGCCATCGTATATGAATGACTGTATTTCATATATTTCCTCATTTGGATCAGGCATTAGATACGAGAGATGCAGAGTTGAGACAGCAACAGGCAGAGTTACATTTTAAGCTTGTTGAGTTACAAAATAAGAAATCTCAAGTAGATCAGCTTGTTACTCAGCTTCAGACATTTGCTAATGAGGAAGAAGAAGAAGACATAGGTAAGAAATTCGTTATTGACTGTCTCTGGCGTATTACAAATTGTTTTTGATTTATTTGAAACCCAAAATAATACAGTACAGTGGAATTGGGTGTATCCGCAGTGTGTTGTACTACGATCTCCTAATCAAAAGTCTTCATCAGCAAAAATTTCGATAATGAAAGGTTTCGAAATGTGGAGGTATAGATATCTGGTGGTTATAGTTGAGGGAGTGGTATACAGAAAAATATAACCTACGTTCATACTCAATGTGCAACCGTTCGCTGGTTTCTTTTAGAGTAAAATCCCAGGATTGCCAGACATTTTTTCTAAACGATCAAAGTTAGAGAGAGGTCAATTTATAGCGGGACATTTTGTTTAAAGCATCTGGAAGAAGTTATGGCGTGCGGCAAGTGTCTGGCAGTGCTGCATATTACTTTTCGGTAATGATTTACAAAATAGATATAAAATTAGTTAGCATTATTTTAAAGTAACCTTTCTCACCTAGTATCGGTAAATTGGGCGTCTAACGTATCTAACTTAGCTTCTAAATATTCAACGGAAAAATCTTCCATATATTCAGTAAAGATAGTGTGCAGTACACCTTGGAAGCTTCTGTTTATGTTTCAACAGAGATAGCCTGTATTGATACTTGTCAAGATTGTTCTAGCATTGAAGTGTATTCGATATGTACGAGAGAGATAGAGAAATGCATAGGTTTGATTGATAGCGCGAATGGAGTATGCCCAACAAAGGCTTCTCTTGTATTAATATCTATATTTTACCAGCTGCAAAGAAAGATACCCATGTCGAAATGTAGATTTACTAAGGTTCCGATCACATCGATGGCTTTTTCCAAAGCACAATGACAGTACTGAAGGCTATTCCAGTCAGAGTTCCAATAGTGCTATGAGGAGTAGAAAAACCGTCTCCAGCGCTGTATGGCTTCGAAAGGAAGTTATTTTGAGGGTGAAAATATAAAATTGTAATTATATTTGAATAAAAAAGAGTAGTCTCATCACATGTGATCCAATAACAGGCCGAACGGTCCTGAACTTGTTCTATAACGCGCGAGGCCATATATGATATGCCGATCATGTATAGTATTTGGTGTATCAGTTACAAACACTGCATAGTTTAGGACTTCCTAAGCGTATCATTTATTCAATTGAAATAGGCTATTTGCTTTAACTTAATTTTTATAATGATTTTGACAGTTCAAAAATTAATTTTAATTAATGCTACTTGTTATTTTATAGACAAACAAATCACATTTCTTTTTAGGTGTAAAAGTAAGAAATATTGTAACAATGAAAGATCAGTTAAACAAGTTGCAAGACATGCTGGAAGTAGTGAAATCGGCTGAAACTACTATAATCAATTCAAACGCATCCTCTGAGGCTCAAGCTGCAGCCATGGATACTTGTTTGAATATAGAGAGCATATTAGAGAAGGATAATCAGAAACCGAGATTAAGGTCTACCGTGTCCAACGATAGCAATGTCTTGAGGTGAGCATTAATTTTATCTTATGTTTGTTCCGTTGAAAAAATGATAATGACATCCAAGGCGGTTCAGTAGCATGAGTTTGTTTAAATGCCTCATGTTTGAGAAGTGTCTCAACGAAAGAGGAATATGTTTTTATGGGATGGGTGAAAAAATATATGGAAACGCTCGTATTGATGTCCAGCAACTGCATCTTTCTATAAAAATAACAATATTGCCTTAGGAATATTGTGGAGTTTTGCATTACATTGATGAGCGATTGCGCCCAGGGTGAGTAAAAAAGGCTGGTTTGGCTGCAACAGCTGATGACAACCTTGTTAAAAAATGGTTAATATCATGCCTCCAGATGGTTGAGGTCTTCGTTGTTTCCGTTTCTAGACTGTTGAGGCTTTGCTGGCGACAGCTCTTCTTTCACTTATACGTTTTAAAGCGAGTGAGATCTAAAGCGGTTACTCCATAGGAAATAACAACTTCGCACTGCGGATTTTTATGGTTTCTATGAATATTGCGGTTCTAGCAATATTCGTACTCTCTCGAGGTTCCCGGTAGAATGCAAAGAACCACGTTGGACACTGCCACTAACTATTTTTATGTGGTCTGCACAGAGACATTTAGCACAAACGTTTGACATACTGAACAAATAGCTTTTGCCTGCTGCTCTAAACAAAGGGTTATGATCGTGTGACGTTTTTATTAGTGCAATCGAATAGTTGTACAAATTTCACAATAAAACATTGAAGAATTGAATATTGAATTCCATCGCATAATGGGCGAGTTTCACCAAGAAAAAATACATACAATCAACAGGGTTCGGATTAGTGCACTGGTTGTGTCGATCAGATGTTAATTAAGAAAAATTAATTTCCAGTGCCGACGTTTGTGGAACTATATTGTAGGGGCACCCATACGACATTTTGGAACTTGTCACACTATTTTGTTTATATTCAGATAGATTGATCACATATTCTGAGACATCCTGTATCCTTATATACATCTGTCGAAAATAACGTAATTAAACTTTTAGGTATGACAACGACACTAGTAGTGAAGGAAGGAATAAACAGACTAACAAGAATAAAAAGGATCAGATACTTGGACGCCAGAAATCAGCACTGCAATCCGAATTAGAAATAAAGAAGAGGGAACTTGAAGAACTAATGGGAAAACATAAAGGTAATTTAAATGATATTTTTACCTGTTCAATATTTAAAGAATAAACTATTTAAATGTATAATTTAAAATTGTGATGTCTATTCGAGGTAAAGAGCACATTAGCAGTGTTCCAATGTATTAATTTTGTACTGTCATAGTACACCCATTCAAATTTGGGAAAGTATTGTAGCTATTTACAGTGAATTAAGATTAGACTAATTAATATTTGCTTATTGATAGTAAGTGAAAAATATTGATAACACCTATCAGTGGCTGTATTCATTAACTTACAAAAAATATTTGATAATATAAATCGATGATCGATGTACTTAGGATGCCACTTTGTCGTCGTTGTACAATGTGATTTCACAAAATTTCAACAACATAGATAAAACAGTGTGTTTGATCTTAGCCTCGCGTTTAATACAATTAAATTATTAAATAAATTAGATTAGAACTTACTTATTAGGCAAGACTCAAGCAGTAAAGGTTAGTAACAGTAACAACTACGTTAAAAGGGTGGCCAAATTAGCATCTACAGGTGTACCCCAAGGGATTATCTTTGGACCATTGCTATTTATTCTGTTTATAAATGATATAGATCTTACGTGTCCTACTATATTCAAACGCTTTTTGCAGATGACACAATCTTTACTACTCATGCTTGGGATTCTCAGGAACTAGGAACCCAGATAAATAATGCATCCATTCTAATGAGTGCGGGATATAACTTGAAGCAGAACGTTTGTGTCAAATTCCCTGGTGTATATGTGGACTCCAAGCTCTCGTTTGTGAGCCAAATTGAACGCATCGCCAAAAAAATATCATGTCATTAATTTGTCATGTGGCAGCTCTGGCAGCAACTATTAAAAGTATATTACTTCGCACATGTTCATTCAACCTCAAGTTACTGCATAGTAGTCTGGGGCGGATGTCATAGAATTTATTATCCAAAAAAGAATTATTAGGACCATGCTCTACAAAAATTCGCAATATCCTTCTAGAGATCTATTAAAAAAGTTGGGCATAATGATGGTGTACTCCTTGTATCTTTCAGGGATAATTATAATCGATATCACTAGAGATGATATCATTAGCACATATAATCTCCGTGCGAATTTCAATATTGTCATATCCAGTCATAAGCTTGCTTGATCATGCCGATAGGATTGTTCAACCACTTTTACACAATTGATGAATATCTGTCACGGCCATTATGATTTTAATGAGTTTTGATTTTAACGTGTTGTGATGTGAATGTGCCTCGATTAATGTCTATGTGTATATATTTTTTTATGTATATCTTGCTGTTCATTATAGATTATATACTCTACTCTTTGACTAATTCGAATTTGTAATTTATATAATTGACTTACTTCTATACTTGTTAGTCAGTTCTGATGGAAGATCAATAAAGGTAAAGTTTGGATCTGATACTCTTACAGTTTGCCTAATTTCATGTAGTTCTGCCTGTGTTAATTTTCTGCTTCTGATTATGTGATTTTTCTGACTCAAAAGCTCCTTAGCATATATTTGAGGTTTTACTGCCGGGTTACTTTGTCGCCAAAGCTGTTAAACCTCTTTATAATTGTCTGATACCTTTCACTGCAATAATGAAAACACCACATGAACTTCTTTGGTCAGAATCAGTGGGAAAGATAGAAGATTCATTGCAGAATTCTAAAAATAGTTCTCTTCTTGCTTGGGATACATCGTGGTTTATATTTAACATTCTTCATTGATTTTTAAATAACAACAACCCAGGAAAAAATGTTCTATAGTCAACGCCAAACAAAGTGGCGTGCACGTCATCACGATAAAAATTCCCCGACCTAATGCCTAGGTTTCTATCACAAACAATTGCTCTATTGCAGTTTCATATTAATGTGATATATAAATTGTAAAATGGTCATTACTCTCTTATTATGGTTAATAGTCATATAAACATTGTTATTAAAATATCACATAAGTTGCTTTCTGATAAATTTAGACGCATTATGCGAAATAAAATGTTTTGCAAACGCTCCAATCACATATCGACATGTAAACGCACTAAACCGATTTCGCAGCGTTGACACATTGTCACCTTGAAACTTATTTAAACTGGGAACTGACATTTGTATTAATTTTGACACTGAATCAATTTGTGGAATTTCAAATCTTTATAAATCCTTTGGCCCCGCATACTGTAAATCAACAACTGTTTGTTTCAAAACAAAATTATTCATTTTACGAGTAGATAAAGGCAATTTTGGTATATAAAGATGCCCAAACAGTTAAATAGTCGGTGTAAGGAACTCGTGGCCTCGTTAATGCACTACTTTGAGCAAGAAAGGGACAACAACGGGCCTTTGTTGCCTTTAAATGCTGTTCAAGAGGTAGGTTACTAATAATTATATGTAATGTATATTAATAATAGTGAAATTTTATTTCATTTTTTGTAGCGTGTTGCTGCTGCTTTAAAAATTAGTTTAAGGACAGTTAGTCGTATTTCCGAGGGTGTGAAAAGTGATGCAAATTTAGAATCGCCCAAGAAAAAGCGGAGTTATATTAAACGTGTAACCAATACAGCGACATTGGATACAAGTGCCATTCGAGAAGTGATCTATAATATGTATCACAAAAGTAAGATCTTATTATAATAACTTATCAGAAATTTGCATTAATTTGTTAACTAAATTATAATGTCATATTACACATGGTTTCAGAAGAACAAGTTACGATACAAACTTTATGGTCTCGATTAAGAGATAGGGCATTATTTGATGGTAGTGCCACGTCTTTAAGGCGGTTGCTTAGAGATCTTGGATTTAAGTGGCTTAAGGACAATCCGCGACGAGGGCTCATGGAACTACCAAGTATAGCTTTGAAAAGGGTGGAATTTCTAAGGCAATACAATCAAGCCAAGGTTGAGGCCTTATACCAGTTTGTCTTCCTCGATGAAACTTGGATATTTCAAAATGGGACCATAGGTCGCTCTTGGCAAAATGGAAACCAAAAAAGCGTGAAAGCTATTAAAACAGATGGTAAAAGGTATGTACTTTTACACAATTTGCACTATAAAATTTAAAACTAATATATTTTAGATACATTATATTACATGCTGGAAATGAAAATGGGTTTATTGAGGGTAGTGAAGCGATATTTTCTTCGAAAACAAAATTGAGCGATTACCATGGAGAGATGAACCAGGACAATTTTTTGAAATGGTTTCAACATCAGTTATTAGAAAAATTGGAGAGTCCATCTATGATTATACTGGATAACGCCCCTTATCACAGCATGATATTGAACAAAGTGCCCAACAATGCATGGACAAAAAAAAATATCCAAGACTGGTTGACAAATCAAAACATACCATTTTTAAACACAATGTTTAAAACAGAGCTATTGAGTATTGTTGCTCGGTACATAATGCTTCTTAATTATATATATTTTGGTCGACAGTTTATATTTCTTTTGTTTATTCCTATTCTTAAAATAACTGCTTTTTTAGAAACAAACCACCTAAAATATACGTGATTGATGAATTGGCGGAACAACATGGGCACAAAGTTCTTCGTCTGCCTCCTTACCATTGTATATTTAACCCTATTGAGTTAATTTGGGGCATAGCAAAAGGTTACTATAACAGACATATTGGTAGAGATGGTAACAGTGAAAAAGACTGTTTGGATATGTGGAACGAGGCTCTACAAACGGTTACCCCAGACATGTGGAAAAATAGTGTTCGACATACTGAGCAAGAAATTTTTAAATGGTATGAAAGAGAACGAATTTTTGATCGACCAGACATCGAACCTTTAATAATCAACTTTGAGAGTGATGAAGATTCAGATTCAGACAGCGCTGAAGAAAGAAACTCCGACTAACTTTATTGTACAGAAAAAGCTTACACCAGTAGCTTACCTAATTTTAGAATGCATTTTTCTGTATGAATTCTGTAAAATAAATACCATGCATAAAATTTGGAGGACCCCATTTGGATTTTTATTCAGTACCTTTAAGCTATCAATTAATTATGGTAGTTTCATAGTGTCATCTGATCAATAATTGTCATACTTAATGATTATGCAAGTACAGATCTATAATTTTATTATACTATTATTTTTGTTCTCATTTGAGGTTAATATTGCTTATAAACCTAGATATGTAAATAATAAATTTTATTATTTTACAAAAAGTTTGGCAACAATGTAAATTTTTCAACACACCCACCTTGATGACGTGCACGCCACTTTGTTTGGCGTTGACTATAGTACGCTTGATTGAGCGTCTCCCATGAAACACTGCACGCCAGTAGCTCTCACCTACTTGGTGTCTTCTTTTCTAATTTTGTTAGAAAATATATGTTAATGCTGTCAGTGTCAAGCTTACTCCAGAAAATGGTTAAAACTCAAAGAAATCTGCTCTGGTGGTGATGCCTTAAATAGATAGCTTGAGAGGGATTCTCGGTTCACAGGAAACAGCTCAAAATAGTCATATGCTTGGTGAGCCACAAAAACTTGGCTTATAGTTGGGACAGGCACTTCACACTAGTGTACTATATTATATATTATTATTATTATTATTATTATAACAGTGTACTTTCTTGGTAAACCTTCCCTTTCTATCCATTCAAGTAGGTTAACTGCTCCTACACGCGTTCGGTTTCTAATTCAAATGTTTTTCTTGTAGCCAGTACATCGAATCTGAATCATGACGTTGGTTTAGATATCAAGTCAGAATTCAGTTACACTAGCAACGCGGTAAATGAGGCATGGCCTGCTGTATCGTCTTCTCAGCGTCATCAAACTGATTCGGATAGATTTTCGAGGTAAGTTTTTAGTTTTACTAGATTCTCATCTGCGTTTTTAACAAAATTGAATTTTTCAAGGAGGATGGGCACAAATACATGATTTTTGGTAACCCAGTCATAAATTATTTGAAATGACTTTCCATGTAGGATAAGAAAACCTTTGACGATTTTGCTAATTGGTTGTTCGATAGTTTGTGTCGCTGCAACTGATTAATTGCAGGTATGACATTTATTTCTAAACAATTTCGTAAAATTTTGATTTTATCTGCTAACTCATCAGGTTTATTTTGAACATTTATTCGAACTTGAATAGTACATATACCGACATCCTGAAGGCGCAAGTGAATAATAAACTAAAATGAATTCTTTGGTTTGTTTTTTGCTAAACGTCAAAAACAACATAAACATATGTCAAAAAGCGTGTTGTTTCCAAAAGACAGTGTACAATACGCCGCTGTTGAAAGACATTTTTGCACCTGCCACACTTTTCCGTTTTTTTTTGACAAATAAATAAAAAATGTCAATTTTTCAATGGAATATATTAGAATGTAAAAGGTGGATTTGATGATTTTTGATGAAGCAACAGTATCCAATCCATGAAGACTAATGTCGTACTTAGGAACATCCAAGATATCGGAGGTTATGACTCCACATCTAATCTTCAAGTTGGAATAAATGCTAGAAATAACTTGAGCCTGATCAAGTTACAAACAGAAATAAAAGTGACAGCAACATCATAAAAATCGCTAGTCTTCGAGATATCATTGCTCACATAGGTCAACAAATAGCAAAATTCGCGTTGGTTTTTCTTGTTCTACACAAAAAGACCTTTCAGATACGATATACAGGGTGGCCCAACGAAAAGGTCGCATCCCCATTGGTGACTCTCCTGTTATATTTTGGGAAAAATGCTTGGACACGTCAATTTTGATTTCTAGGGGGTCTTTTCATATAAAACCGTACGATACAGGGTGATCCAAAAATAAGATGTTGTGTTACAGTTTAGATTTTTAAATGGAAACCCCCATTTTGCTTTAATTTTAGATTTTCCATTCTATTTAGGTATAAACTTTTGTATAATAAAGTTTATACCTATCTTTAATCGTGAAGCTATTTGAGTTTATAATAAAATTATAGAAATTGTGATAATAATATTGTAAAAATAATAATCAATATAGTTCCCATAGTGACAAGAATTTACTTTAAAATTAAAAACAAGTCTTGCTCGCTACACATCCCACCACGGTAATGCTTGCAGTATTTGATTATGGTGGGTAAGGTTACGATAAGTACTCATACCAAAGGTATTGGTCATCTTATTCCTATGTATTCATATGTACAGCGTGGCCAACGAAGTATACGAGGTATTGTGTCTGAGAACCCATCCATCTTAGAGGCGTGCGGAAAAAATAGTTATTACTAAAATGGTCAAGAGAAAATCCTGGAAAATATTTCCAAGTTTCTGAAATGGTCACTACGGGTCATAACTGCAATCTTGAATCTAAAAAGATAATGTTTCTGTGAATTTCGCTATATTAACCTAACAAAAAAATAAGTGATCTTTAAATTCGAGGATAATCTGAACTTTTTCGTTTGACAATTTTTGCTGTAACTCTAAAAATAAAGTGGTGGAGGGTATTCAAAGGTTTCCGTAAAAAACCCTAAATCTTCGAAACGGCTGAGCCGATTTTAGCAAACTTGGACTAGTTGAAAAGAGTTATTCTTGGGCTACAAATGTTATAGTTATAGTATAGTATAGTAAGTTTTATTAATTTCATATGTGACCGCTAGGGGCTTTTTTGACATTCCGACAGAAATGGTTAAATGTCTCAAAAAAACTAACTGCATTGGTATGTTTTTTTATGAAACAGTAGCTTAATGATGTTATTTGGTTGGGTTGGTTTTTAGGTCGTTAGGCCATCGTAAAATATTTTTATTTATCGTTTCGCCAACACGAGTGTCGTGTGAGCTACTGGACTCCGAACTGTGAACACCTTCTGAAGATGCCAACCACTCGTGTTGGCGAAACGTCGAATAAAAATATTTTACGACGGCCTAACTACTCAAAAACCAACTAAATAACATTGGATGATGTCTGCGAAAGCCTTTCGCATTTCATTAGCTAAATGATGTCTAAACAAGTTCGCAAAACCCGCATCTCGATAACTTGTTCCTAACCTAAAATTTAGGCCAAAGAAAATTTTATTCGGAAATCCCTTACATGTTTATTTTTTTAAACTAATTTTTTGGAATTTCTTTTTATCATCAAGTCGGGGCCCTAAAAAGGACCAATTTAAAAAAAAGTTTTCAATGCCCCCGTAAATGCTCGAAATGCTGCATTAGTGAAGCCTCTCATTTGTAGACAAAACTTCAGTTTCAATTTCGGATGTCGGTATGTAACATGTTACACCCTGTACAACTACCTTTTTCAAAACATCGAGTACTAGGTATTGTCAGATTCGAGTTGTGAGTACCGGGTACCCGGCCAAGTAGTCGGTCGGGCACTCGGTGGTTTCCTTTGGTCTTTTATGATATAATATTATTTGTAGATGCATAAAAATTTACGAATATAATATGTATGTTGAGTGACCCTTGGCAGATGTTGAAAAGAAGTATTGGGGACGCAATCAAAGGATCAATGTACGACATCTCTGATTATCCACAACAACGGAACCCTCAGATTTGTTTATGGCTTCCATAATCGAAATAAATATCCTTCCGACTTAGTCAGGTAGCAGGGGACATGGGAGCAGGGGAAGCAGGTTACGGATTAGCATTATGGTTCTAGCTGAAGGCGACAATAGAAAAATGCTGGACTCACCGGCTGAATACTTTTTTGTCCATAAAGACGTAGATCGTTTAGGCAACATTGCGTTATGGCACCATGATGGATAGGCGTGTTCGGACAACAGTGAGCCATCGATTTAATAGAGCATTTGGTACTTAGGCCGCCAACGTGCGGATTTAGTTTTCAAGATGTGTTAAACAGCTTCAACTGCCTATACTTTTCCTCAGTGACGACGATTACCTCATCGAGGAAGACGATCCGTTGGGCAGCCGAAACGGAGGTTCGGCGTCGGTATCCCCGCTCATCGTCAACTTTGGCCTGTCTAAGCAAAGGGTGGGATCTTCAGGGCCACCGTCGGATAGAAGGGCTGAGGTGGAACGGAGGAGAGAAGTGCGAAACGTTCGGGGCGGCTCTGTGCCTGTACCGCCCATGGCGCCCATACATCCAAGACATCAGCAGCGTAATCGATCTAACAGCGACAAGGAAAATAAAATGCAGGTGAGATGTAAGCGATATACCTGGTGTTTCAAATTCGACGCTCACCATTGGGATCTCGAAAATGGTAAAAGACTTCACCCGATTTCGACTTCAGTTGCTGTGCTAAAATGAACGATCTGCGGAAAGTAACAGGTTGTATGCAAACATATTTCTTGAGTCTGATGATCCTCGTACATTGTTAACTTGCTTGTCACACTTCTGGTATCAACCATAGCATTCCTGGAAGTTTTTCAACACTGCTGCCAAACCGAATCATTTCAAAGAGCACAACAACGTGACGGAGAAGTGCTTTTATCCGATTGTCAAATATTTTATGCGGATACCATCTTACAGTAGCGGAAATGTCACAATAACATCTGCAGATCCTTTATCAACGGTTGGACAACTGCAAAAGTGTCAGATCCCATTAAACAACTGATCACGTCGTTTTGGTGAGAATGCTTGTGTATGAATACCCATGCCGAGTCGTGTTAAGGTTACCAGTTGCTTTCGGTGAAAATGATCCCATAAACTTATTGCATTGTACGAATAAACAGTCAGTATTTTCTTTTTAGGTACATAAACAGCTACAACTTATAAAAAGCGTATGCGAATCCATGCTGGAAGAGCACAAACAGGCTCCAGTACAAGCGTCACCTAGTGGCAGCGTAAAGCAACTAAGGAATGATCTTACATCCTCACCTCTTTATTCTTCTGCTCCACCAAATATTGGGGTTCCTGTAGAAGCACCCTGGATGCCGTCCAATGGAGGTGGGGATGGGCATCAGGTGAGCATATCAAATTCCGTAATAAATTTCCAAAAAGCAATCCGAGACTAAGAGTGGATTTCACCAACATTAATATTTAATGGTCACTTGAACCAATAGGAACATACTTTATCGAAATGCAGTTTGACGGAAGCTGTCAATGCTCTCTGAATATCAGTGATTTCTATTGAAATATTGAATAAAATCTTGAAAAAGCGAGTGTATTATAAACAAGAGCACGTTTACTTTCCAACATGATGCTTTTGTGCAGAGCGAACAGGACAACTTTGATGAATTTTGCTATTTCTTATCAATTTACAAAAGACGGATGATCTAATCAACCAATGAAAATGCAAGAAATAATATCGAGGTCGATTTTCTACCTATTAATAGGATGTTTTATCTGTTTTTGACGACTGTCAATGCATGCCAATCTAGTTTTGTTTCATCATCACATTTAGGGTTTTGTACATAATACGTGCCTGTAGAAATGTACCGGTTTTGTTTTATTTTGCAAAAGAAGGATATAAAGCGTATTCCAAATGTTTCATCATCTTTTGTTACATCAAAAACAATTTATTATCGATTTATGATCTAGAAATCCGTACCACATCCTGCATTCCTGGGTCCTAAAACATCGATATTTGTAAATTATTCATCGTCTAATATGTCAAAATCAAAAATACCTGCTTTCGAAAATATTTGTAAAACTTGTTATGATATCTCATTTGAATCTTGGTTGCTTTTGTAGTGTTCTACAGTGTTGCCGAACCGAAAAAAAAACGGAATCGGTAAATAGTGTAGATGAATTCGGTAGGGGGAAATCTGGGCCGTCTAAAGATCAGTGGTGGATCAAGGATCAAGAACCTTTAAAAATGTTTATTATTTGACTGAGCGCACACACAACATATCTTTTTTGAGGGCATAATTCTGTATTACAACTTGTACAATGTGCACACTGGTCGCTCTTTCTTAGTCCTTTCCAGCCATCCTGGAAACTCCTTTTTCGATTCTTTCTTATAGGATTGCTTGCTTTCTTGTTTCTCATCTTTTCTCTCCTTCAGAAGGGCTGGGGTATTTCTAGATTCTTACTGTTCCGTGTCAGCGTTCTCCTATTGTGAGGCTATGTTTTCTTTTTGAATTGTAGGGAATTTCAAGCTGATATAACAGATGATATAAATCAAAAGCATGAACAATTTGATGCAAATGCATATTTTTGACGAAATCTCAAAATAGAGCGCTGACACGGAACAGTGGAAAATTATGAAAACCAAGGAGGCCATAAAGGCGCTCTACAATTGTAGGAACAAGTGACGATACGACCCTATGTAGTTGCAGTTTATAAAAGTTGGACTAAATATAACTTGATAGTCTTTGAGTTCGTAGCTACAATGGTGTTATAAGGGACCTCAGTAGGTGAAAACTTCTTATCTGAATGTATATTCATATATTAGTCACGCACATATGAAGCGTATAAAAATGCAAGCCCAGACATTTGACATTTTTGAAAAAAATCAGCAAAAGGGTCCAGGAATACGATTTTTTAAAGCTCAAGTTTATAGACAGACATCTTATGCTGTTGTTCGCACTTGCAAAAGCAGTCATTTGTGTACACCAGTTACGTGCAAAAGCAGACATTTGCCTTTAAGCCGTGCCGTGCTGCTACGCTGTTTTTTTTCTTCTTTTTAACTCAGATTCAAGATTGTACGTTGTTAAATTAGTGGTAGGTATATTAACTGAATTGCTGTGTTCATAAGTAAATTGACGTATTTGTGAATAAATCATGATCCTTTTCATTATATTTTTCAACGACATTTCTGACCTTGTTGAATGCAATTTTCTCTTATATGCCGATGATCTTCAAGTTTCTACTCAGGTTAACAACTGCACCGATTTCGAACGTCTCCAAGATAATCTCAACCGGATAACAATTTGGTCTGATAATAATAACCTATCCATGAATGCATATAAGTGTACCAGCATGAAGTTTTCTAGAAAACAACGCCTAACAGAATATCATTATTAGGTTAATCAAATAACTTTGCCGAATCTAATAGAATTCAAAGATCTTGGAGTCATCTTCGACACAACCTTCAGTTTCAATCTGCATATAAATTATCTTTTAAATTCTGTAAATAAAAGTCTGGGTTTTGCGTTGCGCAACTCTCGTGATTTTCACAGCATAAATGCTCTACTCATGTTGTATAATGCATGTGTACTGTCAAAACTTGAATACGCTGGAATTATTTGGAATCCCTGCTATGTGACGACTTGTGACTCACTAGAAAAAATACAACGCAAGTTTCTGAAATATCTGTCCTACAGGATAGATGGTATTTATCCAGAAATAGGTGTTCCTCAAGATGTATTGTTAAAGAGGCATGATAATCCTAAGTTTAGACCACAGAAGAAAAATGCACTCGTCAATATTCTTATTCAAGGTTATTCACAACCAATACGATTGTCCGGATATTTTCCTTATATTCCATGTGTAACTGTTTGAACAATCTACAAAACAGAATTGATATATTTGATACAAATGTGACCTCTATTAAGATCCTCTGTAAATCTGTTATATAATTGTGTAGGTTCGTGAATGTTATCGTTGTTAACACAAGAAACCACGTAACTCCACTTTATATTGCGTTTAAAATAGGAAAAACACGTAACTCTTAATTTTACCTATTTTCCATTTTTGTTTTGAAAATTTCAGCTTTCTTTAAGTATCATTCAGAAACTGCTCAACTAAACTATAATATTGCATTTATCACAATAATGATATTATTCCTAAAACAATATAATGCATAACTCAATTTGTTTTTACGCTTTCCTCTAAAATTCTTAGAAACTGAGTTATGATTTTTTCTTGTATCATCCACGTTATATTTCTTAAATATATTACTCCATGTTTGTACTATGTAAACTTCTGTTCTCCCACCAATAATTGGTTGATTTGTTGGTGGTGTAAATAAATAAATAAATAAATATTTGCAAGTCTCGGTGCAAAACAAGACATGTATAATTTTTTAAAATATCTTCTTGCTTTCAAGTCAAAGACATTTTTGTGAAGAAGTACTCATCACTATCAAAATATTGAATATTTTAGTCAAAACATGAAGTTAATTGCACTAAACCTAAGATTTCGAGAGGTGTTTTGCATTTTACTCAAAATCACTTATACGTCAAATGTCTGGGTTTGCATTTATACGCTTCATATATAATGTAAATATTTATTTTTAAGAACAACGGTGTCGCGGTGAAATTTCTTTCAAAATTCGACAGTTGAAAAATTAATGTCAGCAGAAAAGCAGGATGTAGGGGACTTTGAATTCGATGATTTCAGGAAAAACTATGCTGACATGAATCAGGAACAACAATAGCCCCAATACCGATCCCTGAGGAATTCCATAAGTGATTTTTTTTAGAGAATCTTTCATTACCATTAGTGCATACAGATTTATTCCTATTTTGAAGATAATTTTTAAACAATTTCATAAAATTTCCTCTTATACCTATTTCATATTATATATATACAGGGTGACTTTGAAGTTGAGTCATTAATTTTCAGATAATGATTGTAGAAGGAAGATAAACCAAAATATGTGTGTAAAAATAAAAAAAAAATAAAACATTTTTTTTACCTTGTTTTATAAAGTATCCTCCCAACAAGTATTTCAGTGCGGAACTGAATTTGATCGTGAGGTGCCCTGTGAGGTCTTAAGTCACCTGATTCACGAGCCCGTTGTACTACATTAACAAAGGCACGAGGGGTTGGTTGCACTCGATTGGGAAACCGATCCGCATAAACATGTGCCATTTTTTATTTCGTTTGAGCCACGCAACAGACACTATTCACACGCGACTGACACTGAATGTATGTATAACTGAACTGAATGAAATAAAAACGTCGTTCCAAATTCTTTCGCTTTTTTGTTTCCCATGCGATGAACCGATAAGGTGGATTATATCCGTTGTTGCCAAACACGAGTACATGATATTATTATTGAGACAGGGCGGTACTCAAACTTCCAAAGGGCTATAACTTTGTTACTTTAATTTTACCAGAAAAATGGTAAAGGAAAAAAAACATTTCTTTTGATCAGATCTACTCACTGTTAAAATAAATGACTCAACTTCGAAGTCACCCTGTATATATATATATATATATAAATAGGAAAATAATGGGCAAAATCCGCAAAAAGTGGATTTGAGCAAAATAGGATAGGTAACCCGAGCGATACGTATTTCTGCTGGTTGGCTTCATCAGGCCCGAAATGAATGCACATATGCAACTACAAAAGTAGAGACACATGCCCATACATCCGGATATGGGTGTAACCTGAGGAAACAAAGATGGAGAGGAAAAAAAAGACACACGAAATCCACAACAAGAGCCAACCTACACATTGTAGCATCAAATGGCTAGAAGACCTAGAATTTTCAAGGCGACAAATAACCACAACCACGCGGCCGGTTATAGCCACTTGCTGTGGTACTTCAAGCCCAAATCTCCTATTTTTGTTAATACCTTTCTCCGCATTATATATATATATATATATATATAGTAGTATGGGATGGTTGATAGAATTCCACACATTTCATCATCATCATTTATATATTTATATTTATCTGGCTTGATTTCGTCCAGACAATGGAGCCTAACGGAACTAGGTGTTTCACAATATATAATATGTTGGAAATGTCATTATCACTAAGTTATAATCGAATATTTTGTGGTATATAGCATTAGTACTTCGTTTGAGAAGGCCGCTATTGGTCTCGAACATTATATCCTTCACATCTATCTTGACTCATTCTCAAACCAGATATGTAAGGTACTATTCTACGGTAATTAGAATTATCCAATTTGCATGATTTTTAAGTCTACTTCCAATTTCTGTATAATGTTTCTTCGTTTTAAGGGTTGGCTGGCTACAAACGCTATTCAAACACAATCATTCTTACTGAGCACGCTCAATCAATGCTGTCAGATGTTATGGCTCCAACAACGCGAACTGGCTGCTCTCAGAAGTGCTGTCACTGTGGTAAGTCTTAAGTCTTATAGTCTTAACCATTTTTATTTGTATATTTATTTATAGAACGACTTGTATTCAGTAAACGAGCTCTCGGAGTTCCAGAAACTTAACGTACAGTACAGCATGTAGCTACAAATATAAATCTAAGGGGCTTTCCAAATAGAATGGGCCGATTTTAAAATGGAATAAAATTACTTATGTGTGAGGCACCAACAAAATTCGTCCGATTGCCGATATATGGCAATCGTATGGAATATGATATGGATCAAATCACCCCGTGACTTCGTACAAGACTGTGGATACAAGAGGTTCAGTGTTTAATAACTTGCATTCTGCAATAAAAAAAATATATTTGTATTGTTTCATCCTTGCGTTAATTAGGAAAATATTAAAAAAACGGATGATTTATGTTCAAACTAAGAATAATAGTAATCACTCGAAATTAAATGCTCCATCTACATCAACGGCGTAGATGTGAGCTGTCGAATGTTCGCATTTTTCCCAGACAAAATTATTATTAACAACAAGGTTTTTTAAGTATACAAAATATAGTCATAACTAGAATTCCGTCAGCAACAATCCTTAGAGTGGCAGAACATGTTATCAAACGATGGCTGAATTTCCCACCCATCTTTGTATTTCACGGTGGCTTTACTATGTCATCTCTATACAAAACTGTAAAACAGTGCATCCTTGATATGTCTCTACTTGAAACGGATAATAGTCTTTTTCGGTTTTGCTCTAAAATCATTACACTTTAAGATATAACGTACGTGATAAAAAGTACCAGCAGAATTCGCGATTCTGTTTAATTTTATTTGTTTAACCAATTTCCGACCCACTCCAGGCAGGCGCATATCCACAATCTTGTTGAAACAGCTCCAATAGAATCCTTAGCTGCCTCAGAAAACATCCACCTATAGGCCTTTTTAACCGTAATTCGCCTACAGTACTAATCGGCCGACGTCAACTACGAGCGGTGATGAAAGAAAGGCAACACCGCGCTCAGTCGGGATGGTAGTACTACTTGTGATGTGCTGCGTGTGATGTTTGAGAACCGCAATTTTGGAAAATAAGTTTACAGTACGATCCGATACAAATTGTCTGAATATGAAATAGCTTTAAAATTTTTGAAAATACGAAATAATCGTGATAAATCTAAGCTGCTAATGAAGTTAACCTAATTAAAAGTATTTAGTTTCCTTTTTTTTAGTATCAGCATACTGTGTTCCACTAGGCCCAGCTTGAAAATGAGGAGTTATTTGTTTGTTTTTCATGCAATTACTTTCTGTTTTACTATTATTTTTCAATTTCACATATTCATTTAAAATTATGTTGACAAAATAGACAAAAGCTTAGACAAAAAAAATCTAATTTATCTACATTAATAATAGATTAAAACATGGCATACATAACAAAATAAATATTTGTTGCAAATGAGCCTTTTTCTGTAACTATTAGCGATTTGCATATCTCATTCTTTAGGTTTTTAGAGATAGCGTATGAAGCATATCCGAATACGTAAGTCTAAGACACCTTTATGGTCTCATTGATATTCACAGTTTTCTTCTTCCCTGTCAGCGCTGTATTTTGAGGTTATGTTACAAATATCTATTTACATCAAATTGTTCATGCTTTTGATTTACATCATCTGTTGTATCAGCCTGAAATTTCGTACAATTCAAAAAAGAAAACATAGCTTCACAATAGAAGAGCGGTGACCCTGACACGGAATAGTAGAAATCTAGAAATATGTATACCAGCCGTTTTGAAGGTTAGAAAAGACTATCAAAATCAAGGAGGTCATAAAGACGTCCTACAATTGTAGGAACAACTGACGATACGGCTCGTAGTACCATCCTGTATGTCACAATCAGCTAAGTAGTTTGTCTCAAATTTTGTTTGTTCTTGTCTATTAAAATTACATCTATGCATTTTGAGTATTCATAAACACATTTTTTAATTTCACCTTAAACATGTTTACATTCAAACACTGTTTAATATCATTATTCAATTTATTAAATTCAAATACTCCCTTTTAAAATTCAGATTTGCTAGTTATGCTACTATTACAATTTTGCAGATAAAAATCTATAATGCCTCTGGTTTCGTAGTTATGATAATGACTATTTAATTTTGTGAAGATTTCTAAGTGTGGTGGTAATAAATGATTTTTTAATTTGAATATGAATATCAGAACTAAATAACATATGAAATTTTTCAACTTCAACCACAGTAGTTCTTCTAACATATACTTGATCCTAGCATATTTGTTTTTATTTAAAATCATTGTCATAGTTTTATTTTGTAGAATTTGTAATTTGGAAAATATATTTTCATTTGCTGTAAACAAGTTGGTAGAACAGTATAAAAAATGGGGAAGAATTATAGTGTTATACACAATTTTTTTGGAACACATACTAAGATTATGGGAAACTATTGAAGTAATTTATCTTTTTGATACTTTTGAAATAATGTATGTATAATGCTCGTGAAACATTAGTTTACTATCCACATATACGAGGAGGTACCCAAAAATAACCAGAATAGCATTGCAGTGGACGGAGCTTGTGTAGTACACATTTCTGCCCCTGGAGGCGTACAGCGCAACTCATTACCAACTCAGTGCCACCTAAGTTGTCGATCTTTCTTGTTTCGTTCCTCTGTAGTCATTATTTTTGCTAGAGCTGTTTCGTGCTTGTTTCGTTTTTTACGATGTCAAGCTTCAGTAAGCAACGTGCAGCTGTGAAATTTTGCTTTCTAATTATTAAAAATGCTTCTGAAACTGTTTTAATGTTGAAAATAGCTTACAAAGATGATGCTATGGGAAAAACTCAGGTATCCAAGTGGTTGGCTCGATTTAAAAATGGCGACATGTCGATTGATGACAAACTTCGCTCTGGACGTCCATCAATTGCCCGAATTGATGAAAATGTTGAAAAAATTCGAGAGCTTGTGCTTTTTGGAGGTTTTAAGACGATTGCGAACCAGTGTTCTTCAAAAAAGACCCGATTTGTGGCAGTCGGGAGACTGGTTCTTCCACTACGATAATGCACCTGCGCACACAGCCATCTGTGTTCGACAGTTTCTGGTTAAAAATGGCATGGTTCCGCTGCCTCACGCACCTTATTCGCCTGACCTGGCTCCACGGATGAAAAGGGGCATGAAAGGCCGCCGCTTTGACGACATTGAAGAGGTCAAGAAAAAAAACGAGGAAGGAGCTGTCAGATATTTCTAAGGAAGACTTAAAAGATTTCGAGCAGTGGAAGTACCGGTGGGACAAGTCTATTAGTTGTAGTGAACATTATTTTGAAGGAGATAAGGTTTCTTTATGAGAAAGTTGAAAATAAGCTTTTAAAAAATAATTCCGGTTTTTTTTTTGGTACCCCGTCGTATACCCAGATATTTAAATGATTCGACAACTTCAATTTTTTCATCATTAATCATGAGCCTAATTGTATTGTCACCTAAATGTTTTTCTATTGTCATACATTTTGTATTAACAGTGTTTAAGTTTATTGGCATTTAACCAATTCATCATTTTTTTTAATATCACTATTGTGATATATAAATCAATGTATCGTCCGCAAAGATTTGAATTTTCCAGTGTTCTAAACTGTCAAAGATATTCATATAAATAATAAATAGTAACGGCCCTAATTTACTCTCCTGTGGCACCCCTACTGATATATTTTGAACGCTTGACCTAATATCTCCAAGTTTAGTTTTTTCACTTCTATTTACTAAATCATTTTGTGAAATGTTTAATACTGATCCTTTAAAACCACAGTCATGTAATTTCATTAACATTTTTTTCCTATCTATAGTCTCAAATGCCCTTTTGAAGTCTAAAAATACTGTTACAATACATTATTTCTCATCTATACTTCTTGTCAAGTCTTTGACCACCATTTGGATTGCGTTTTCTGTAGAACATTTTTTTTCTAAATCCGGCCTGATTTTTTGTAAAAATTTTGTTTTCTTCAATGAATTCAATGATTTCGAACAGCTTCTTGACATCTGGTAAGACATTAATCGGTCGCATATTTGTATACGGCTCAGAATTTTGAACTTTTGGCACAGGAGAAATGGTGGAACGCTTTAATTTTGATGGGAATTCATTATGTACTAAACAATGATTCACCAATAATAATAATTTCTCCAATTATATTGAAACGATCATTTAGAATCTTTTTTGAGAGATTCTCACTTATATATATAGCTTTTATTAGATTATTGATGTTAATTATACTAAATTGATTCATTGATGAATTATGATACACTTGTAATGAACATAAGTTTGGATCAGCGTCATCAATCGTCTTCACTATTTGATTTACACTGTCCATGGAAGTTTAGTACTTGTTTAAATTTTCTAACAGAAATCTTTACTGTCAAAATTTATATTGAAGTCTCCTAAATGTACATTTGTGCAATTCCTGTAATAATGTTTTTCACATATACTCGAAACATTCAGTCAATCGATTGACGCTTCCACTTGGAGATCGGTAGTAAATATACAGATTGTAATTTTTTGCATCCTTATTTCCAGATTGATGTACCACCATTTACATTCAACATCGTCAATGTTCTGTACTTTGACTTCAATGCTATATAGTGTATATGGGTTTATTCGTACAGTAGTTGGTAACTTGTCGGTGACTGTCAAAATCAGAATCAGAGAGATGTTACCTGTTCTTACAGCTTCTGACTGTTTGCCGACAGCTAGTCCGCTGTTCGTACAGAACCTTCTGACAGGTCAGAGAATGCGACTCAATCAGAGACATTGACAGGTGTCAAAGTGTGTCGAAACTATCTTCAGGTCTAATATTGCGTCGCAAAAGGCATTTACTGATCGATGACTCTTCTCTAACGGACATGCTGGGGACACTTTCGCACCAGTGGGCCGTCGGCGATTTAGCTCTCTTCTACCGCTCCTCAGAGCTCTCCTCGATGATGCCGCCGCGCGATGTGCCTGCCAGATAGACCCGCCTGACTGATAGTGTATC